ACGCAACTGAGACAAACGTAGCAGAATAATATATAAATATACTCCTGTTGCTTAAGTGTTTTGCTTAGTTTTGAATGTAATAAATAAGTAAATATATTATGAAATTTACCTAATACAGCAAAGCATTTCCATGATGTGTTCCACCACAATCTTGTCGTCCAAAGGTCGATTAATTTGACTGCAGTATCTTCGACCCCATCGCCAAATGCCCCGAAATATTATGGCTTCATCTGGAACATTTAGATCGTTCGACTCCAATATTTTCAGGAGAACATTTTTGCTAAATCCTAATACCAGATCGGAAGAAAACACAACGTAAGCAAAATTCTCAATGATAGACATGCATGCAGCTTTCACAACGCAGTCTTTTACGAAATACTGTTGAATTTCGAGGTTTTCCAACAAGTAGCATGCATCTGCAATGGTAAGATTCTGAAGAGATAGTTCTTCTAAGTGTTCTTTTAGGTGCCTTAAGCCAAATCTTTCAGAATTTTTTACAATGTCAGCCGTCACTTCAGCAGGATATTCATTCAAATAAAGATACCTGTAAGAATTAAAAATGGTTTTTGATTTTTATCATTGCACAAAAATCAGGTAATAAAACTAAACAATGAAAAGCAAATTAAAAACATCTCAACTCTCGTTGACGTTTCAGTTTCTTAAATTCTTTTATGTCATAATTGGAAAGAAGAGTAATAAAAAAAGAGTAGAATATTCGAAATATATATCTTTACACACAATGTTGGATACAAACACATGCATAAAAATTTGAATGAACAATTTTTTATATGCAGTTTGGGTGATGCATTTGGTTTACCGCTGGTCTTGTATGCCTAGGGTTGCGGGTTCGACCTCGGCCCAAGTCGGTGGATTTTCATGATGCAGAAAATCGACAGCATCCATGTCGCATTAAAATGCGGCATTCAAAGATCCCTAGAGTGTTTGCTTAGCTAGGGTGCTCTCGATAAAATTAATTTTCTCATACCATTTCGTATTGTTAAAGTGAAGGTACCTCCCTCTGAGAAGGAAATTGGACGTCAACACTACATTGTGGCGATTCGTGTATCATCTATATATTACCGCACTAAAAAAAGTGATACCAGCTCCCGGAGAATATATTAGGTCTGTGCAATGGTAAATGCACCAATCCACAGCCCCATTAGAAGAAAAACTTTTTTTTATTTATAAATACTCCACACTGAATGTTCTTTTAAAGTACAAATTTTATTTCTTTTTAAGGAATTCTTTTTTAGTCTTTAAAGTATTTAAACGAATTTGGAAATGCTATTGAGTACAGAATTCAAGTTTTTCAGGTATTTTGTGTGAAAATAAGATTTCCACACAATTCATTTAATGTCATAGTAACGCTTCAATAATTATATATATGTGCATGTCGTAAGTGAAAAAGTTCACTGTTCCAAGTAATTATCCAAATGAGACATCAATCAGTGCATATGATGCGTATTTAAAGAAATGATTAAAATTTTACACGAATTAAATCATTTCTTCAGAAGCAGTTACATGTAACAAACCAATCAATAAAATTTCAACCCAACACTTGCTAATACGCAAACTCTGTTTGGTCTTTCATTGATTCGTAAAACTAGCAAATATCCTCTTGTTAGAATATTTGCCAAACTTTCTCCTGTCATCAAGTTAGATCAGCAAGATATTGAGCGTCTGCTTTGATGGAGCGTCTGCAAGATGTTGAGCTCCCAATAGTGCTTTTTAGAGAGAGAGAGATCTAGTAACCCAAGTGGTCTGAAAGTTTTTTAGAAGCACGATTACAACAAGGAGAATGACTGCCAAATGCACCAGTGCATTTTCAATGTGTGTTTCAGCAAGCTCTAGATGCTGTGAAAATACGAATAACACGATGAAACGTGGAACACTATATTCGGTGAAATACTCATAGGAGGAAATTTAGGTGTGTTTTACCAAATGAAATGGTACTTTCTAGCTCCCAATCTTATAATTTGTTGGTTTGGTAATTAGCATGATATATACTATCGTTCGGTTATTTAAGTTATCTAAATCAGTGGTTCTTAAACTTTCGATCACCGTGGACCGCCTTTATGTATCAGTATGACAACGCGCCCCCCAAGAATTTAAATATCCTTTCCTGACTCCCAACACATCGCTGAGTGATTTAAAGGTTCCACAATAATCCTTAGACTGCCTCTGTTGCTGTCTTCTTTTTTTCCTTTAAATGAATTAATATTCTTGAATATAAAAAAACTGTGAATTGATATTCTTAATCAAAATACGCATATTCTAGTAGAGTATTTTCATTGGAAACAATTTAGAGATCTAGTCTAGGATGGGACATCTTTAAATTTTTTCAAGAGGCCTTTAAGAGTCTGTAAAAGTAGGAAATCCTAACTTTTAGGGAGAGACCTTCGTAGACCCATCTAAAAGGCGCTGGGGACCCCCGGGGTTCCACGGGCCACAATTTAAGAACCACTGATCTAGATGACTTTAATCACGGCTTGGTTGGTGATTTTAAAATAGCATCCATTACTAAAAATATGTCTACTTTAGTCGGGGAGATGCTATGTCGAATGAACTCAACAGCTCTGGAAAATGCAATGTCTGGACGTACAGATGAAACACAAATGATGCCATAAGAATTTGCATTTTGTATTATATAAGTTGCCTATTTCAATGATACTCATAATCGAGGATGTCTAGTTTGTGCTCCAGATAATTTATAATAATAAAAAAATGCCTTGGAAGTCACTGCAACAATTGTTCCATCCTTGTGTCGTTTTGTGTTTTAGTTAGCTGAACACTACATTTTAACGCTGAGCGTTGCTATTGTTCAATCCTTTTATTCCAACATCAGCGAGTCTTCGAATTAATCATCCCGAGTTATTGTGTATGTGTGTGTGCCAACATTAAGTCTCTTTTCCTCTCTCAAATATTGATATTTGTGCACAAAATGTGTAACTCTGCAAGGTTTTAGTGCAATCAGGATAAATAGATACAATGGTGGTTACGTATTATCACAATAATCACCGACTTAATTAATAACTCACCTAATTGGCAACCCGGATTTCCTATGTGTCGTACGCACTGAATAGTTTCATGTAATGTCGCCAATAAGTTGCGATAATACATAAGTACCAATTCAATCAAAGTCGAATGAAAACTATATCAATTTTGTTCCATGCGTCATTCGGAATTTCAGTTGTGATAGTACTTGTATAAAAACTTCTAGATATTCATCAATTAGTTTCTAAAATTTAACCATTTTGCATATTGGATTGATAAATACTTGATAAGAATTTTCAATAGAATCAAGTAGTTTTTCAGTGTACCTTTCTGGAAAAAAAAATATTGGAGTGCATCTTAATTTCAAAATAAAATTAACAATTTCTCTCTTTTGTCTGTTTTATACGAGTCACAGTTTCTTTAATGAATCTTACTACCAAAAACTCGTCAAAGTTCAGAATATACCTTAAGATCCCATGTATAACGCGTACCTATACATTAAAACTGCATTTTTATGTATATTTTCCGTATAATGCGTATACGGGACATTTTTTACGAAGGAGTCTGAAATGTACGTATGTAATGCTATTATGCTTTGAAGTCCTTTATTCGAGGAATCCCAGAATTTTGGAAAAATAGCGTACTTCTAGAAATACAATCCCTTAAGATCATTAGCTTTGTCATTTATTTTAAATAAATAGTACAAAAGAAAAATCTTTGTCAATACAAAATCTTGTCAATCAATACAAATAGAAAATCTTTGTACATGAAGATTTTTATTGAAAAAACCAGTACGAGATCATTCGTAGGTGGGACTCAGCACAGGAAAGTTATTCAGTGACGCCAGGCTACGAGTTATCTCGTAGAGTTTTCTTTAAATAAGAATTACTGTAAATGCTATTACAATATTATATCAATAACTCAATATTATTATATTTCGTAAACTTTCATGTTTTCTTTAAAATATAACTTTGGCACTCATGGCAAGACTCTCTAAATTCACATGGCAGTCAATGGGTTAAACATTCGAAAATAAATATGCTTACTTCAATATCTGTAACATTGTGTCTGGTTGCATACCAATTACCGTTATGGAAGTCGGGAAAGGATCATCAGCTCGCTCTTCCAGCATTTCACGAAATTTATAGGACTTTGCAGCTAGGATGGCAGAATGGGCAGCAAATCTCCACGAATACCCACCGTGCGGAACCTTCAGGACCACATCATTCATGTGGTCACTCATTATTAAATCAGATGACATCGTATCTTAATTTTTGTGTACTTGTAATCAATTATCTGGAAAAAAATTAGTATTTGGGTTTTTTTTATTGAAAACAATTATAAAATCCCCGTGCACCACAAAGTATCACACGGGGCTTACAGAAGTAAGTATTAAACACACATTCAAGGGAAATAAACAATTAAAAAAAAGAAGTTAAGAAGGATTACAAACAGTTACAACAAATTTACAGAAATTATTGAAAGCACTTCTGGTGGAAAGAAATTGGTGAAAATTCGGTGGCCAATTAATGTTGAGTCTCTTGAACGCCAGTCTTATGATCTTTCATAAGACTGGGTAAGTATTTGGGTTGATATGTTTTTTTTTATATTAGGCATTTTAGTTAAATCATTTTCAAGAATTTGACGATTGCTTTGATCTTAATTTCTTTTAAAGATTCGTGATATACCGCTGTGTGTTTTTTGAGATCAAAATAACAAGTAATAGAAAAAAATTAAGTCAATTCCTACTTAGGTTCCACAAAGAAAATTTTTGTTTTAATTACTTTTTATTAAATAGTTACAATTAATACAAATATGTGTATACATATGATAGAATCGCAACATTAAGTGAAAAAATAGAAAGCGATTTTACTTGCAATTTTCCATTTTTCTTTCTATGTATGGTGTCGGACTATTAGTTTTATTTGTTATTATTTATTCATCCATTAAATGCAATTATTCTAATAAAATAGTATAGTAAAAAAGAAATCACATTCTCAGAAATTAGTCCAACCCAGGAGGAATTCGAAACCACGACCTTTGGATTTGAAGTCCAACACGCAATTTATTTCGCTACAGGGACACAACGAATGATTTTCCTTTCTATATAGGCTGTTAGACTATTATTTTCATTTGTTACTATTTATTCTTTTTTAAATTAATTAATAAATTAATATTTGAAAAAACTGTATTAACATCAAGTGTCATCCACTACAAGTTTAAAAATTGTATTTGAACTTCAATGGATGAATAGAAGGTATTTTATTAACGACTGAAAATTTGAGCCAGATTTATGTATAGGGAGAGAGTGAACTAATAGTAGGAATTGAAAAAATAAATAACTGTGCATGTATGTACTAATAAAGAGTTATATATTGTTTTAAGAGAAAGTATAGAGACTGTTATGCATTAGTATGATCTTGAGAACTGGTATGATTTCGAATAAAATCATTACTTTTAAAAGCTAGTTAAATATAGCTATTTTTATAAGTTAAAAGACAGATAATGTTTGAAATTATAGTTGTTCGAAGAGGATAAAATCATATTTTTGATCGTTTGGAAGTAATAAATTCAATTAATTTTTTCGATGATTAATTTAAAGCAATATTTAAAACTACGAGTAAAACCATACTGATGTTATTGGTATTTAATTTGATTAACTTGAAAATATGACCAAAAATTGTACGGACTGAACAAATTTAAAAAAACTTTACTATTTAAGTTATCAATTACTTCCATTAAAATTCAATCCTAAAAAGTATCGATATATTTTATACTAGAGTATTTGTTATAATATTTCGATAACATGCCCTTTCTATCAATAGCAGTCTCCGAGATTTGGTATTTGATTTTATGTTAAATCAAAAACATTTAAGACAAATTCACAATGCAGTCTACTTAACAATAGAAATTCAATAAATAAATAAATATAATTTACCAAATTTTAGTATAACATTTATTGAGCTCAAAAATTTTCTATTCAAGTACATAACTCATAAATTTTGTCGCCTAAGATGTGTTATATAGTCTCCTCCCCTATAAGAGCGTGGCCGCGGTAGCCGAGTGGTATAGGCATCGGATCGTGGCTGGCTTTGTCACGAGTTCGAGCCCAGTACCACTAAAGACCCGCCGTGTAGGGCAGCGATGCACGCTAAATCTGTCGAGAGCTGAAACGTCCTCCCGTTGGTGTGGTGTGGTAGTTAGGAGAGGGGGGTGCCAGCTCAGGTGTCGTCCACGTCACTTGACCATGGTTCAAAATTACGTGGTCCGTCGCCAAAAGCCCTCGTGCAGCTGATCAGTGCGACGTTAATCTTCACTCACTCACCCCTATAAGAGCAGCTTATTTATAAACTTGGTACTATTATTAGAATAATTTAAATATCTGACATATTGCTAAGAATGTTTAATAAAGTCAATAATAATGAATAATTTTATCAAATCTATGAATTAATAGCCTTGACATATTTTACTTAATAAATTACTCCTTATTACTACCTTAAACGTCAGATAATTATTGACTAATTCCTACTAACTGGGTTTGAATGTTGTACGTTGTTTGCATAGTAATCAGCAGAGTTCGCTGTTAACGTGGTGGCCGCGGTAGCCGAGTGGTATAGGTATCGGACTGTGGCTTGCTTTGTCACAGGTTCGAGCCCAGTACCACTAAAGACCCGCCGTGTAGGGCAGCGATGCACGTTAAATCTGTCGAGAGCTGAAACGTCCTCCCGTTGGTGTGGTGTGGTAGTTAGGAGAGGGGGGTGCCAGCTCAGGTGTCGTCCACGTCACTTGACCATGGTTCAAAATTACGTGGTCCGTCGCCAAAAGCCCTCGTGTAGCTGAACAGTGCGACGTTAATATTCAATCAATCGCTGTTAACGTGAAATTACTGATAAAATCTCATAAGCTCATCTAATGGAGATGTTGAGGATTGGAAGGAATAAGGCAATGTGTGTGTGTGTCTCTTAAATATTTATGTATATATGTGTGTATATGACTTTCTATTTTTTTGAAGACTAATTTTACAATTTAAAAGTTAATATTCATGTATGTATACACTTCTGAAAAAAATACTTCCTGAATTATTAAGAATAAAGGAATAATCCTCATTCAATAAAAATTTTGCTTATGTTAGAAATGAAAAAAATTTCAATTTATAATATATAATAATAATAACACTACATTCCTACGATTTTTGTTTTGTTTGCATTAGTACTACCCTGGAATTTCACAATAATGTATCCGTGACGGACTTAATTACTTGAAATCTATTTTTTTGTCCATGTTTTTGTGTGTATGAAGGTTTTCAGCAAACTTTCATAACTCTCCATTTGAAAAATTATGCAAGTGAAACAAAATCTTGTTTCACTTATCAGACAGACGTACCTTAATTCTCACATAATAATTCTAATATAGATGAAAATCTTAAGGGTTTAACTATACTATCACATAATATGCGCCGCTATAAAATCACACCAAATGCAAGGTATGTGGTGTGATTTTTTTTTTTTTTTGCTCCATTCTTTGACCGTGAATTTAGAGTCGCATGCTGTCCAAACATTATGAGTGAAAGTGTAGAGCATCGTTGGGTCAGATGTTTCAAAAATAAAAGAACAAACGTTCATGTGGGGAACCATGAAGTGAGAAGCTATCTGAAGTGAGAGATAATCTCTTTAAATAAATATATTTTAATATAAATCATATAATTAATAAATTTAATTAATATATTTTAATAAAGTTCGTGAAAAAGGCTGATTCACAAACTCTTAATTTTCACAACAACTTCCAAACATTTTTCAAACCATTTCGCATGATCTAGTCACCAAACACAAGATCTTTTGCACCAGTTTGGGACGTTTTAATCATACCAACAACTCAGACTTTGCTTCTGATAATCCTCATCTATTCCATCATAAGGAGTAGCTCTTCTCTGATGATGAGAAACTTCAAATTGTTGAAAGGTTTGTTAAAATTTCAGGCGATAGAGCTTTCTGCAGAAATTATTTGTTAAGGTATCCGACTACTTGCGACAACTTTTTTTTGAAAAAATGGAGATATGGGGATTTTTTTTGTGATTTTTAGATGTGTTTAGTATAATTTAAGAAAAAAAATTCTAAAATTGAAAACAAAAATTCTTTTATTACTATTAAAATGTGAAAAACTGGTAAAAATGTACAAAAAAATTACACAAACGGAGCCACTCTATACAAAAATTTTACGAACAAATTCTCAATTTTTCAGTTTTGATGTGTTACTTTGTTTTTCATATTTGAAATGACCTTCAGGATAAGAGATATTTTGATTTCTACAAAGACTAGAGCATTTTATCTTAGTGACTACAGAAAATTGCTTAAAAAAGCAGTGATTATATTCACATAAAGGACTGTAAATTTTGAAATAAAACAGTGATTGATAAATCTGAAGATTAAAACACTTTCACTGTTATACAGAATATACACAAAAAATTTCAGCAAATTATTTTAAAAACTTTTTGAGCAATCGCTTTTCCCGTTTGAATTTTTCGAAAAAAAAACACATTTCGAGTAAAACGTACTTTAAAATTTAACATCTTTTATGTAAAGTTATGGCATCTGCTTTTACTAAAACATTTGTAGTTTTTGTTCTAGTGATTGGAAAATAAAAAAACTTGGTATTTTAAAAGCTAATAAAATGGCCTATAAAATAAAATCATAAAAAAATTATCAATTTTTGAAAAAAAAATCATTATTTTAAAAATACCGCTCCTGACATTGAATACACGCAGTGTCTATGTTGAAAAATAGAAACAGCTGCACTCTATGATGTAAATAAAAAGTGTAATTGTGCGAGTTCTTTATTTTCAGTGAAATGAAGGTTACTTTCCGAAATGCATTTATTCGTGCATGTGAACATGTGTGTGTGTGTAGTATACGAGGGGAAAATTATAATATATTATATATATATATATATATATATATATATATATATATATGTGTGTGTGTGTGTGTGTGTGTGCGTGTGTGTGCAATAATTCCCTTTAATTTCTATAAACAACTTTTCAATTTGTAAAGGTCCTGGCCTTTAAGACTCGCGTGTAAATAACTAGCTTATCCGCATCACCGTATAATTGTAACCGTATCTCTTGAAAATTAACAGCTTGCATTTTTAAAAGTAAAATTAGATCAGTATCCATCAAACGATATCTTTCCACCAATCATAGCCTGCAACCTTGGAAGCCGTGGGGATTTCAAGAGTTCCTGTTGCCGCTGCATGTAAAAATCAAAGATACTGGGAATACTCTCTCTTTATCTTTGTTTTCAATAGATGTAAATAGCTGCAGCTCGTTTTCTGTCTCCTGACTACTTAATGTGATGTCGAAACACAAAGTCTTGTCCAATAATATTTATATGTATGTGTGAACGTCAATAAGTGTTGAATACTACCTAAGAAGATGTTTCTTTATACTAAACGGTTCCTTATCACTGCAACAACCATAACCTTGATAATGGAATAAGTAAAATCTCCCACTTGCTATGTTACTACATATATACTCGTATATACTCTTGCCTGCGAAAGTCTGCGTACAGGCAATAATCTTACGTATTTATGCTATAATTCATTTTAAAATATCACTTTAGAAAATCAAAATACTTGTCAGCAATTCTTCAAAATTTCCTTATTCAAACAACAGCAACCAAATTCACCTTAACGAGAAAAAACAAGAATGACCACCACATAATCATTAACCATCTGCGCCAAAAGTCTTCGAATACTTACAAAATAGAGCTTTTAAAGACCTTTTATTGTAAAATAATGCACTAAATGTTGTTTTCAAGTAATTATAACCTTTTTTTGGCGATTTATTTAAGATTTGAAATCTTTTGTGGTTCCATGACAAGATACAAAATAGAGGTCGATGTATTATTGAAAGAAAAGGGGAAATGTTTAAAGCAGTTGTTGAAATTGTTAATAAGGAGGCACTCATTGTTTGGTGGGAACACTTTGTTCATAAACTACAAAACAACTAAAACTTTAACGTCCAAGCCAAGACCCGGGCGCGCATCTGTAGTGTCACCTCGAGAATCATGCTTTGTAATACGCTCTATA